GGAGAGAGAGAGAGAGAGAGAGAGAGAGAGAGAGAGAGAGAGACAGAGACAGAGAGAGAGAGACAGAGACAGAGACAGACAGAGACAGACAGAGAATGAGAGGGACAGAGCTGGACTTTTGAAACCTCAAAGCCCATTCTCAGTGACACACTTCTTCCAGCAAGGTCACACCTACTCCAACAAGGCCACACCTCCTAGTCTTTCTAATCCTTCTCAAACAGTTCCACTCCCGGGTGACTAAACATTCTATGTATGAGCCTATGGGGGACCACTCTTATTCAAACCACCACAATGACCGTTGGTTTGCTTGTGCTGTTTCTCCTGGTTTGGCTGATGTCTGTTTCTGTGAATTATGTGGTTTTATGATAAAGAAGGTATGAAAGAGAAAGATGGATTTTTATGATGAAAAGCTTTATTTTCTGATTTCTATTTTTACTTGGTTGGGTTTTCTTAAAAAGTAGGATTTCCTTTGTAGCCCAGGTTGACCTCAAACTTGCCATCCTTGTGCCCAGTATCCTTAGAGCTAGGATTATAGTGCCATTATACCCTGTCATTTGTGCCTTTTAACATCTAAGGGTAATTCCTCTATCAAGTTTTTGCTCCTGGTGTTGTCGTTTATGGCATTAATTTAAGGCAGTCTGGCAAATAAACACAGAACAGTTACCAGGTTGCCCAGGATTCTTCACTGCTCACCTGGTATGAACCTGGTTTCTTGTCTTAGGTAAATGTCTGTTTACCACATGGTTGTAAGAACATGAATTCCAGCCCCTCTGCTGCCCATTTGGATGTGCTGCCTAGTGGTGGAAAAGATGTTGAGGAGGAATGTGAATAGTGAATAAGAGCTCAGACATACATACGCCTCACACATGTTCTATGTAGTATATGCACACACTTGTAAAAACTGCATGAGCAGAAACTCAGTTACTACAAAGTCCAAGCTGCATTTAATGGCCCGGCAAGTCAATTTGCAGAACTTTTCCAGATTCCCATGACGCTTGTTTTAAGGAGCCGAAACACAGCCCAGTTTGCCCAGACAGGCTTGGCGGTGGGAGATGGTGTCTGACCATGGAGATGAGTCAGCTTTCCCTTTGATTTCTTGAGACCTGGTAGCTCCAGGACTGTAGGATAGGCACAGGTGGGATGTCTATCTCGGGGAAGGGGCTTAGTTCCCACCAGAGAACCCAGTTGTCTCTTCTTATCTTCCCTCTTCCCTGTTGTCTTCTCTCTTTTTTTCATACACTCCTTGTTTTTTGAGATAGCCTATAATATAACCTATACTGGCCTTGACCTAAGTATGCTTCTAAAGGTGGCCTTGAACTCCTGTTCCTTCTTCTCCAGCGCTCGGGAGAACGCAGGAGTTACAGGTTTATGCCACTATTTGCAGCAAAGTCTTTTCTTAAGGCTTTAGTTCCACGTCATGGGATTGGCTGGTGGCTTTTAAGCTTTCTTTGTTCTGGAGATTGTTCTGGAGATCTAGAACCTGCCCCAGATATCTCTTATGAGTTCTTTGTTCTGGAGATCTAGACTTGCTCCAGAAATCTCTTATGTTCTGGAGATTGTTCTGGAGATCTAGAACCTTCTCCGGATGTCTCTCAGGAGTTCTATAAGAGCTGAGTTCTTTGTAGCCCTGAACTGCAGCACTGTTTTAGAGCTGTTATATCAACACATGTGCCCTTCACTGCAGAAATGGCCATACCCCTGGGAGGATCACGGCTTCTCTTGAGCAGGTTTGCCTACTCTCCTAAATGGCTGATTCTTTTCACTTATAAATGTTCCTTTGCTCCAATAACAAGGGAATGGGATTTCCTAAGACTCACTTTTCTCTATCACACCTTAACTGATCTCTTGAGCAAGGAGTATATGTCAGAGTCGTGGAACCTTGAAACTTACCAATTGGACTTACAGTTGCAGAGGTCACTTTCCTGACTCATTTTTCTATATCCTTCAACTGATTATTTTAGATCCTGCTTATCTATGAGAAGTACTGGCAGCAGTTTTACTTTTTTTTTTTTTTTTTTTTTGGTCCCTCTCTGTAGTCAGATGCCCTGGATGCAGCTTGAGGATGCTTCTCTATACATATCTCAGGCTAATTTCATCCTGGCCTACCAGTTCCGCCCAGATGGTGCCAGCTTGAACCGTCGGCCCTTCAGAGTCTTCGCTGGGCATGATGAGGATGTTTGTCACTTTGTGCTGGCAAACTCGCACATCATCAGTGCAGGAGGGTAAGTGCTGGGTCTTCCCCAGTGTTCTATAGGAACTGGGTCTGCCTCTGACTTTTCTGGCTCTACAACAAAGTATCAGAGAAGTAAACTTTTGAAAAGGTAGGCTTTAAAAAACAAAACAAAACAAAACAAAAAACAAACCCAAAAACCAAAAACCACTTAAAGCAGAGATTTACCAAAGCTGTTAATAGGGTTAGCCAGAGAAGAAAACAGGAGCAAGAGCCTTTAATACAAAGTAGAGCAGGTTTGCTACTCTCCAAGGGGAGGTTTATTTTCTCTCTCAGCTCTCTTTAGCCCCAAGTGTGCTGAAGAGATGAAGCTACCTAACACTCAGCACCTTGTAGGCCAGCTTGCTTTGTGCTTGGCTCATCTGGATGTCACTGGACACTTGGGCTCCTTCAGTGGCCTGGGCCTCCTACTGCAGAGGGAGTATTAACCCCTGGGCTGTGCTCCTTGTTCTCTCGTAGAGATGGGAAGATTGGTGTTCATAAGCTCCATAGCACCTTCACTGTCAAGTACTCGGCTCATGAGCAGGAGGTGAACTGTGTGGACTGCAAAGGGGGCATCATTGTGAGCGGCTCCAGGGACAAGACGGCCAAGGTGAGGTGTTGTCCCCTTTACGTACTGTTTTCTCCTCCTGACTATAGGGACTGGGGTGGAAGAGGGTGGATAGAGCCTGGAGTCCCAGGATTGGCTGAGAGTGAAGAAGGTGAGGGCAGGAGAGAAGGGACATAATAAAGAATTACTTATGTGCCTTTGGCATGCAGCTTGCGATGCTAGGCTGTGTTCCTGCCAGCTGGACTGGGAGAGGAGTGGGCGGTGGCTGGGATGCTTGCTACTCACTTGAAATGTGGTGTGAATGCAAAAACAGGGCTTGGTCAGCTTTTCCTCCCTGAGCTGAGTCTCCTCAGGTTTGTGGGTTGGGTTCTGCCCCAGGATTTTATTTTAAAATCTCCCTCCTTTTCTTGCTCTCTGTTTAAAGAAGTTAAATTTTCACCGCCTTGTTTATAAGCAATCAGGCTGACAATTAAAACGTGTTTTTACTGATTCTCTGGAGAGTGATGTGATCAGTAGGCAGTGGAGACCACAGGAAGGCTGTTGTTGGTTGCATCATTGCCAGGTTGCCTGGTCCACAGACATCCACGAAGACATAAAATATGAAACTGATAAACAGTTGTCATCCTTGCTTTGTGAGTCCAGTTCATCCAGTCTGTGTCAGGCACTGCTGCTTATGAGACACAGAAAAGATTCTCCAGTCTAGGGTGCAACAGTCCTAGCCAGGATACAGGCTTTGCGACTGCAATGGAAACTCTGCTGACCGACTGTTCAGTTGATGATGCAGAAGACCCCAGAGGTCTTGATGATCTGTTTTCCAGAATCTAGAGACTCCATTGTAGAAATTGCTTATTGGTATCAGCGAATGGGCTCTAAGCCATATGTAGAGAGATCTCAGGAGAGGGAAGTTGCAGCTTTTATCTATAACTCTTCTGACTTTGTGTACTCTCTAGTGATTGCTTTTTCATGTTGCTGGTTTATATAAAGACAAGGGCTAAATAGGTTCCCTCCTATTTATAAACATTTCTTTTCCTTTTGAAATTTTCTGCCTTATATTTTTATTTAGAAAGAATGGATGCCAGCATAGGAAGCCCAAGAAAGATCAGCAGTTTGTCTAGGCTTTTGTTTTTGAGACAGGGTGTCATGTAGCCAAAGATGATCTTTGTGTCTTCATTTTCAAGTGCTAAGATTATAGGTGTATGCTATCACACCTAGCTTTAGTGTGCTTTTGTTATTGTTGTTTGTTTTTGAGACAGGCTTTCTCTGTGTAGCCCTGGCTGCTCTGGAACTCAACTCTGTAGACCAGGTTGGCACAGAGATCCACCTGCCTCTGCCTCACAAGTGCTGGGATTAAAGGCACGTGCCACCACCGCATGGCTTTATTGAATATTTTGAATCTTCATGGAAACCACCTTTCCTGTCACCTGTTTCTTCCTCTTCTCCATCCCATATTGACTTCAGATTTTTGCTTAGTCAATGACTCTATAGCATTCCTGGCAAAGATTCTGACTTTAACTTGCCAAGTGAATCTGGTGCTAGAGCAACGGCTCAGTTGAGTGCTTACTAGTCTTGCATGAAGATCTGGGTCTATGTTGTCAATGCATTTGGGGACAGTGGCATTTGCCTGTAATCCCAGTGCTGGGGAGGCATAGACAGCTGACTCCCTAGAGCTAGAGCTTTCTTAAAAAATAACATTTGTTCTTTGTTAATTTCATACATGTTTTGTAATGTATTCTGGTTATCTTTACTCCCCTATTATTTCCCTTCTACCCTTCCAGCCCTCCATTTTTCTTACAAATATTTTTCTTTTTTTAAGATTTATTTATGTATGTATATGAGTGCTCTGTTTTCCTGCACATCTGGAGGAGAGCCCAGATCCCATTACAGATGGCTGTGAGCTGCCCTGTGAGTGCTGGGGATTGAACTCAGGACTCTGGGAGAGCAGCCAGTGCTCTTAACCACTGAGCCATCTCTCTAGCCCCCTTACAAATATCTTAACTATATTTGCTAGCTTTTGTTTTTATTAGTGTTGTACAGAGTTTAACTAGCGCTATCTTTATGAGGAGGAGTATAACAGGATACTATGCCTATCCCTCTCCCAGAGTCTGTTATTTGCCAACAGATGAAGCGTTAGGGAAGCTCAGTGTCAGTGCCACAGTTCCCGTGGGCTCGTGACTGCCATGATCATGTTGTTCTTAGAAGATAGCATTTTGAAGCCCTTTCCTCTGTCTTCTGTCTTAACAGTCTTTCCTCCCCTTCTTCTGCAGTGCTCCCCAGGTCTGAAGAGGGTGGTATAACTGTTAGGATTGAGCTCCCAACAGGCCTATAATCAGCATCTGTGCAGCCATGAGGAGAGGCTTCTCTGTTTACAGCTGAGAGTAGCCTTTGTCTGTGGGTATAAGAGGTGTTCTGAAGCTGGTTTGGTGCTGTATTGAATTAGTTAAGCAGTAGCCTTAGGTTCTTCTCTAAAACCTCAGGTCCATCTTTCTCTTTTGAGACAGTGTCTGTCTATGTGGCCCAGACTAACCTTGAACTTGCAATTTTTCTGCCTCTTGAAATTACAGGTATGTGCCACCACACGCCTATTAGAATTATTTTCTAACAATGTAGACTGTAACCAGGCATTGTGCTAAGCACTTTATCCATTTTATCTTTCCAGGTAAAATATTTTCCCTGCATAATTGCAATGTGTTTTAGATATACAGTATACCTGTGGTATCTACTCTGTAAGGTTTTTTGTTATACAAGTTAATATATAGATACTTTATGTTTAAATATATAAACTATATATGTGTATAAATATATATGTATATATACTTTATATGTGTTTATATATAAATTATATGTACATAAATATATGTATGTATATATATTCATTATTTGAGATATCTGTCCTTGAAGTTTCTTTGTAGCCAAGTATGACTTTAAACTTCTAATCTTGCCTCCACCTGTTGAATGCTGGGATTACATGTATGTACCACATCCAGTCATGTCGTGCTAGAGAGCAAACCTAGGACTTGGTACATGCTGGGCATTCTGTCAGCTGAGCTGTGTCTCCAGCCCGCATGGTATCTGCAGTGACTTCTAGATGAACTTTCTCTAGTAGGTAGATGATTCTGTCTAGTTTCTTCTTAGATACAAGAACCTGGAAATCAGAATCCTTTCTTAAGGGCCTGATTCCTGCTAAATTCTGTACACCATGCTGTTCTAGTACTCTATATTTATCTTCCCTTTTCTACAGCATGGTCCTGAGACAGGCATTTTCCCCCATTTGATGAGACAAAACTGAGACCAAAAAGTTAGGAAACATCTCTAAGAGCAAAGATAGTAAGTCACAGGTAGATTCAAACACGGTCAGACTCCAAAGACTGCTTGTTCTGTAATAACAGGCTACAGGGAATATTTTGTTTACCATTGTGGTTTGTCTTCATTTTAGGATTTTTTTAGAATGAATTCTCAGCTTTAGAGTTTCTGAGTCAAACAAAGTTGATTTTAGGAGCTTCCAAAAAGACTGTATGGATGTATACGAAGTGTTTTCCGGGGTGGGTCTGTTTTGCATTGATAGCAAAGATCTGACCAGATCTTTATTGTGTCAACTCCTGTCCCTCAGGTGCCAGGGTATGCTGTGCCATGGGACAGTCTGGCCACTTTCCTCAGTGATGCTTGGAACTGGCAGAGCATCTCCCGAGTCACTACCACAGACCTGTAGCCTTGTCCCGTGGTTTGTGGGCTCTCAATTCTACCAGCTGTTTCTGTGGAAGCTACTAACAAACTCAGGTTTAGGCTGTTGCCAGAGATTTTGTAAATCAGGAGTACCCCCTTCACCCTGCAGGAAAACCTGCCTCCGAGGGAGTTCAGATAAGGAAAAAGCAAAGGTCTCTTCCAAGCTGGGCAGTCTAAAGGAAGAAACCAGAAGGGCATCTACCTATTACCAAAAGGATTTGACTGTCAGGTACAAAGCTGATGCCGGAATGCCAGCCTTACAGGGAATATTGAGGGTTTGTTTTGTTTTGTTTTGTGTTCTCCTCATCCAGAGTATTCTTGTTAAATTTATTTTCTTAGTTTTGGGAAAATTACTCCTACTATCATCCCATCCCCCACTTCATCATACTCAGAAATCCTAAGAAACACTTTCTCCTTTATAGGGAAGAGATACCATGTGACTCTAAGAAGGCAAGACCACCCCCATTCCATCACCTGCCCCTTACACTGAAGGAATGTTTTCTTAAGTTCTTCCATCTAAGGTCCTGCCTGAGTTTGGTGTGTTCCCCTTATAGCTCTGCAGGGACCTTGAGAGGTCATTGATCCATCTAGCTGCCATGGGATCCCTCTGTGGCTGCCCTGGGGAGAGCCCTGCACATTTGAGGTTTCCTTTCTGTTTGGCTAGAGGCTTATGTCCCTGTGTGTGTCATCTGGGGTAGGGTGAGGTGAGGGGGAGCAGGTTGCTTAATGGGACATTTCTAAATGCTCTGGCTGCTGAGAGGCCCTGGGAGTGTTGATTAGAGTTAAGCCCAGAGTGGCTGCTAATGTGCATTCCTGACTGATAGGGACCAGATAGTGTGCTCCAAGCAATATTTTTAACCTGTGGAGATATGGAAGCTTAAAAGAGTTAAGCTTTTCTGCTACTTTTGGTGACACTAGGTGCTAAATTCCCTGCTGACATGAATAGCTTTGGGTCCTGGGCATTATGAACAAACAACAACAGCACACCACCTTCTCACTTTGAAGTCTCCTTTCCATTCTTCCCTTGTTTTGTAGCTTTCTTTTGACCCCTCTAACAGTATCATGTCTCCCCAGATTGGACCTTGATCTTCCTGTCTCTCCCTGTGTGCCTAAAGCAAAGTTTTGGTGAAAGATAGGAGAAAGGAAGATCCACAAACATAAGGAAGTTTCTGAGAGAGAGGCTACTTCTCTCTCCCCTTTCTTATTTAGAGCTCACACAGGGGCTCTGCATCTTCTCATTGTCAGCTAGGAATTAAGGGCTCTCAGGTGGAAGGAAAGGTGCGTGGTTAGGTCTATCGCTGTGGTAGGTGAACCGGAAGCTGGAGAGGCCTCTCTGCCGATGCCCTGAGCTCTGTCTTCAGGAGAGAAAGGGTTCTCCATTCCCGCACCTTCCTGGTCCCACTCATCCCACCTGGTGTATGTTGCTTCTTTCTAGTCCCAGGCAGTGCCAACAAGAGCATTTCCTCTCCTGTTTTCAGGTATGGCCTTTGGCTTCAGGCCGGCTGGGGCAGTGCTTACACACCATCCAGACTGAAGACCGAGTCTGGTCCATTGCCATCAGCCCGTTACTCAGGTAAGGGAGATATGTTTGGGTTTTTGTCTCACATAAGAATGTTTTCATTTCATTAGGTCAGATAAGCTAGAGAAATTTTTCCCTAGTATATTCTAGGTTTCTATGAACCGGTCTCCTGAAGATTTAAACACTTTCCAGAGACTTGAGGTCTTTTCACATACTTGTGGAACTGAGATAACCTTTCCTGAGCATCCCAAGAGAAATGTTAAGGCACAGATACCATTCTGGAATGTGGCCGAGGGGTCAGTGTTACCTTTCTGGAGCAGATGTCCTTTGGGGTTGCTCCAAAGCAAAGGCTTCTCTGTATACCTGAGAGTAACAGCAGCAGCTAGCCTGCTGTTGTGACTCATCTCTGCTTCGTCCCCTGGAAATGTCTTCTGGAGTATCCCTGACAGGCTCTAGGTATCAGGAGAGGAGGGGTTTGGGCCTGCCGCCTGGGCCCTGGTCTGTATGTGAGGGACAGAAACAGTGACAACTGTAATGGAAGTGCAGCTCTGTTTTGTTACTTTGTACGGTAGTTTGGCCTGTGTACCACGTGTGTGTCTGTGCCATGGAGGCCAGGAGGGGGTGTTGTACCACGTGTGTGCCTGTGCCATGGAGACCAGGAGGGGGTGCTGCTCCTGGAATTGCAGTTACAGATCACTGTGAGCCACCATGTGGGTAAAGAATCAAGCCCAGGTCCTTTGGAAGAGCAGCCAGTGCTCTTCACTGCTGAGCCATCTTGCCAGGCCTGCCACTCTTTTTTTTTTTTTTAAACAAAAAACAAACAAACAAACAAACAAAATAAAAAACAAATAAAACAAGTCTTGCTGTGTGGCTGAGACCAGTTTAAAACTCACTATGTAGCTCTGACTGGCCATGAACTAGTTAGTGATCTTTCTGCCTCAACCTCCCAATGGTTGGGATTTCAAGTGCAAGACACTAAATGCAGCTGTTTCTTCAGCTTTAACTGGCCAGGTATGTTGGCTCATGCCTGTAATCCCAGCATTTAAGGGGCTAAGCAGGAAAATTAACCATGAACTTGAGACCAGGTTGGTCTATAAGGTCAGTTCCAGACCAGCCTTGGCTACGGAGTGAGACCCTGTCTTGGAAACAAAATAAACAAAACATCCAAAAACAAAATAAAAAAAAAACTAAAACTGGAGAAACATGAGCCAGTGAACTTTGCATCTTGGCTTCTGTTATCTTTGTTATTATTAAAAATATTTTATTGACTAACAGTCATTGTATGTAATATTAAGTTTCATGAAGACCGTTTCTTTCAGATATATCATATACTTTTATCTAGGTTTTTTAAAAAATATTTTATGTGTACGGGTATTTTGGTTGTGTGTATCTCTGTATACTACATAGATATACAGTGCCCCCGAGGCCAGAAGAAGGTGTTGGATCTCCTGGGAGTAGAATTACAGATGATTATGAGCCACCATGTGGGTGCTGAGGATCAAACTTAGGTCGTCTGTAAGAGTAGTCAAGGCTCTTAGCTGATGAACCATTGCTCTAGCACTTACCTAGGTTATCTTGAACCAAGGCAGGGCCTCTCTCTTCCTCAGTGGGGTTCAGACACTTTTCTGTAGTTGAACTGTAATGGAAGTTAGTAGGGTCTGACTGTGTGTACTTCCTTGATGCTTCTCATCCCACCTGAATGGACCTGGGAAAGCAAAAGGGCTGCCTACCTCCACCTGATTAAGTCGGTTGCTTGTTTTTATAAGCAAGTTGGTGCCCTTTTGCTCAGCCCTCTACAGCCTCTTTCTCCTCACCTCATGGAGCCTGTACCCCTCCTCTTGCTCTCTTCCACAACTCCCTTTCAATTTTTTCCTTCCTAAGAATTAGAGCTGATTAGCCACGTCATTAATTCTTCAATTTGACGGCTGATATAGCAGGACCTGAAACACATTGCTGACCCCAGAGAATGGAGACCCCATTCCTTAGCATATTGACGATGGGAGAAGTTAATTAAAATTCCACAGAGCAGAGGTGTCGGCTAACCTATAAACCTGTCGCTTTTCAGAACAAATCATTCCAGCATCTTAGGAAGGAGGAAAGGGAAGACCAGCAGGGAGTGGAGAAGCCAAGTGTGGGAGCTCTGGGGGGAAGAATGGAGCTGGGCAGCGTTGTCTTCTCTGCAGTTTCTTCCTAATGCACCCTCTGAAAGCTTATTAGCTGATTAGCCAGGCTTGTGTGTCTATGGGCTGGATGTGTGGGGACTAACGGGAGGCAAGTGGGAGGTGATAAGTATGCTGGTGACTTTGTCTTGGTGATCACTTTCGGCTTTGGCTTCAGGAGGCTGGAGTAGGCTTGTTGGTAGAAGGGACTATGGCTAGAGATTGGCCATGTACTTGTTCCATGTTCATTGAGGCTGAAGTGTATATATGGGCTGTTCCCTACACCTCAGCCTTATAGTCTTCTACTCACTTCTCAACAAAGAAAGACCACAGAACACCTATGGTGTCAATAAGAGAAGTTGAGAATGGAATTTACCTTCCTCATTAAGAGGCATTTCAGATCTGAGTAACTTGAGTTTGAATTTTCTGGACATAACATGGAGACTGACCACACCAAGGACATGACATTGTAATGTTATTCTGACTGTTCCCTGAATACTACACTTCTAGCTGTTAGCCGCTGCTAGCCAGCTGCTCCATGTGAAAAACCTCTGCTAAGTCCCTTTTGGGTCCCTCAATGCTTTCTTAACATTATTCTTCAATCTCCTTGTTGTGTTTTCTTAGTCCTGAATGAGTAAATTTTGTCCATTGTTGGCTGGCTGTTTAGTGTTGACTGTGAAGTTTCCTTAATTTCACAGATGATGTATTGAACTCTGTTTGAGTTTGCTTTGTTTTTGTCCTTCCTTCCTTCCTTCCTTCCTTCCTTCCTTCCTTCCTTCCTTCCTTCCTTCCTTCCTTTCTTTCTTTCTTTCTTTCTTTCTTTCTTTCTTTTCTTGATGGGGTTTCTCTGTGTAACAGTCCTGGCTATCCTGGAACTCACTTTGTAAACTTGGCTGGCCTTGAACTCACAGAGATCTTAAAAGCAAGATCTCCATCACCACCCAGCCGTGTTTGCTTTGTTTTTTGAGACAGGGTCTTATATGGAGCCCTGACTGGCCTGGAGCTCACAGAGCTCTGCCTACTTGTGCCTCCCTAGGTCTGGGATTAAAGGAGTGAGCCACCATGTGTAAAGCAACACGCCTGTGAGTCTAGGGCAAGGGCCCTGGAGATTTAGACACATATATACACACACACAGACACACACACACACAGGCACACAGAGACGTGGGGACACGGGTCATCCTTGAGACAAGAATACCAAGAATGCTCCCTTTATTGTGTGCCAGGGAAGCTTATATAGAGATCCTTAACTAAAAGCCACGCCCCAGCCAACCCCACCAGAAACTACTCCTCTGCCATCAAGAACTCCCGAGGGTCTCCTGCTCAGAGCAACTGCAAACACAGGAAAACAAGTTGTTTTGCTCAGAGCAGCTGTACGCATTGGAAAAACAAGTTATTTATAGGAAATTCAGGGTCTGGGGGTCCACAGCCCCCAATAACCATGCCTGACAGACTCTTGTTTATATTTCATTTATTTATTTGTGTGAGTGCGTCAGTGCATGTGTGTGCATGTATGTGTGCCGTGGTGCATATGTGAAAGTCAGAGAACAACAGTTATTTTTGACTTTCCACCATCTAGGTCCCAGCAATAAACTCAGGTTGGACTCTCTTAAAAGCTTGTGTTGGGGATTCTGACTTTAAACTAGACATCCAGGACATCGGCTGGGGTAATTATTGTCCCCCTCTTTTTGTGTATTCAAAGAATATACTGGGCTAGAATTCTTTTTTTTTTTTTTTGTTTTTGTTTTTTTTTGTTTTTTCGAGACAGGGTTTCTCTGTGGCTTTGGAGCCTGTCCTGGAACTAGCTCTGTAGACCAGGCTGGTCTCGAACTCACAGAGATCCGCCCGCCTCTGCCTCCCGAGTGCTGGGTGGGCTAGAATCTTTATTCTGTATTATTAAGTCCATCTCTGACAACTTTGTCTATGACTTTGAGCCTTTAAAAAAAAAAAATCCATCCAGCTGGGCATGCTGGAGCACGTCTTTAGGAAGCACTCAAGAAGCAGAGGCAGAGGCAGAGGCAAGTGGGTTTCTGTGAATTCTAGACCAGCCAATGCTGCATCAGAGTACCTGGTCTCAAACAAAACAAAAAATTCATCTATTCTTTTAACCCAGGAGGTAACAACTTTCATCTTCAAGGTCTGCTCTTTAGAGCAGTCTAGGAGATACGGTCTCCTTGCCTGCTGCTAGTGAGTGGCTCTAGGCAAATCATTTCCTTTTTCTGTGCTCTCTTTACAGACATGACTAGATTACCGTGACAGTGACCTAAAAGAATATATATATAAACTGGGCAGTGCTGGTTCACACCTTTAATCCTGAGGCAGGAGGATCTCTGTGAGTTCAAAGCTAGCCTGGTCTACAAAGCAAATTCCAGAACAGCCAGAGCTGTTACACAGAGAAACCTTGTCTCAAAAACAAAAGTATAAAGACTAAAAAGCTCTACTTTTTATAGTCACATATCAGCTCCCTCACCGTCTTATCTACTGAAGACTGAAAAGCTCTAAGTCTTGTAGTAGCTCGTCAGCTCCCTCATCTAATGAAGCATCTGCTTTGTGCTCAGTTGCTTTCAAGCCTATTTCCTAGGCTTCCCTGGGCTTCTGCTGCCCGTCTGCCCAGCAGTCACACTGCTCTTTTGTAGTCTTCTTGAGGTAGAGTCTCCCCAGGAATCTCTCTTCCTTTTTCTCTTTCTTTTGAAGTGATCCTCAATGGCTGCCTTGTGTCACCTCCCTGCTACTAGTCCTGTTGAATGTGTTGTCAATCACCGAGTGACATGGCGCTGGACCCTTATGAATAGTATGAAGGACTGTGAGTAGCCACTGCCTCTAAGGATAAGTCCTCCATTTTCCTTTGCTGCTTTCTTGAGAAGCTGGGAGGAATCTGGGCAGCGAGGAGACCTT